GGGAGATTGAAATTCGTCCATCAGGTCCAATTTTCCCTCATATCCGAGTCTCTGCGGGAACAGGTCAGATGCACATAAGATGAGCGATGAATGGGGAACTCGAAACCCGGGGTTGGGCTACATGGAAGTCAGCAGATATCTCCGGGTAGTCTCATGCGGACCGCGGCCAAACTGAAGAATGGTAGAAGATGACATGCAGAGAGAGGCGCGACCAGATTTGGCGGAAAACGCAGGAGAAACGGAGCTCGAGAGCCGTGCGAATAAATTACGTGCTTCACGTTTTCGTCGCAATGAGAGGGAGGAGCGACGGGAGTTTTGGCGGGAACGTGATCACTGGGGAGGCCTGGCGGGGCAGCTGGAAGATCGCGAGCGGAGGATCGACGCTATGGAAAGCGTGATTCTCACGAGCTCGAGTGTGGGAGAACCTAGCGCTCGCAGGTGAGGAACCGAGTGAAGAGGAGAAACTATTATTGGATCGATGGAAAAATCGGAGTTCGAAACGATTATGACAGGCTCATAGTCGTGACTTATAGAACAACTCTTCAGATGATGCCGATGAGACCTCCTACACAATTCTCATCGTCCGCGACCTGGATTTGCGATCATGATTCACATTTCGACCAATCGCCTCTATTGTGAGGAGGATCCGTTCACGCTATTTAATGGTACTCCACTATATACATATATGCTCCTATGTCCTACCTATGGTGGCGGCGCAGGCTCACGGGTGAACCCATCTATCTATCTTCTATCTATCTTCTATCTTCTATATACATACATAATACATAATACATAAAAATACATAAAAATGGAAGTCCACAAAATCGTTGTGTCGTATGGACTCAGTTAATATTGAAAACATACTCTAGATCTTTTAAGAGGACCTTCAGAAGTTTCCCTGGTACCCCCCCGACACACGAGATCGACGATTCCGCTTCTAGATTTTAAACATTCAACGATTTTACGTGATTTTTGCCTACTTCGTTGTTATTGTCGATGGATGACGATGCTCGATGCTGCTCATGAATCACTACGGAGACCTGATCTCGATTCTTTGGCTCCTTCGGAATGGGTAGAAGAGCTCCTCCAGAATGGGCGCCTCATTCGTAACGTTCTAGCAGCGTACCTACTCGGCGCACGAGATCGTGATTTTTCGGTGCTCTCCGTCTCTGAGTTGATTTCAAGCTGCTTCTAATCTATGCCTGATTGAGTTTATCGGAACAGAAGATTGTTTTCAGGCACTTTGAACGGGTGGAAGACAAGACGGTCTTCTGGAGCCCACTTCTGGTGGGGAATCATTTTCAGAATAGTTTCATCAGTGCGGGCTGGTAACGGTTATCAGTTGTCCTCAGAGCAGGGGAAAATCTTCCTCAAGTTATTTCTTCTTCTTCTTCCTCTATTCTTGATTAGGAGGCCGACGAGGACAATAATCAAAAACGGGAGGCTAGGAGGAGAGTAGGGGAGGAGTGAAGAATGGAAGAAACATATATGGGGAACGAGAGGAATGAGAAATAGTAGGAGATCCGAGAGCCAAAGGACCAAAGAGCTTAAGAAGAGGCACGGGAAAGAAGTACCAACGAGGTAAAAAAGATAAAGAAGAGAAAAATGACAGGGACGGAAAAATAGCAGAAATTCAGGGAGAGGGAGCGGGAACAGGTATCGAGAAGTGATTGGAATGTGTGAGACAGGGGGGGATGAGAACGGGAAAAGAGGAGGCAAACGCTTACGATATCATGAGAAACGGGAGCAGAGGAGGGGATTAAAACGTGGATAGAAAATTGGAGAGATATGGGAAATGAGAAAAGGGTGTAACGGGAGGATGGGGACATCTGAGAGTAGACGAGTAGCGGGGCAAATACGCGAAGGGACGGGGAAAACAAGGGAAAAGTATGAAATGATAGAAACGGACGAAGTGTGGGGGAGTACAGAGTGACTCGGAAAAGAAGCACACGACAGAGGGGAGAGGAGGGTAAACGGAAAGAAGAGGGACTGAGCAGACAATTGGGAGAATTGAGGAGATCCGGGAGGAGAATAGAAACGAGGAAATGAGAGTGACGGGAGCCAAAACTGAGAGCAGCAGAGAAACGGGAGAATCGGGGTAGTGGAGAAAAGGGGAAAGCCGGGGGAAACAAGGGAAACGAGGAGGAGAAAGAAAATGGGGAAATATCTGATCCAGGCGGAGAGAGGGGAGACACGAGACACGAAGGTGAGAATAGTGTGAAAGAAGGAGAGATCGAAGTATAAGAGGGGGAACGGGAAGACGAGAGGATCGGGGGTGGCGGATAGACGGTTGAGCGAGGAAAGTAAGGAGGAGAAGGGAGGACACAGGGAAGTGGGGGAAGATGTGAAAAAGTCAAGGGTTAGTGAAGGAAGAGAACCAATTCTGAAGAGCAAACGAGAGGGAGCCTGAAGGGCGACCGGGAGACGAATAGAAGAGGGAATGTGTGGAGCAGCGGGAAAAAAACAGAAATCGTGACCGCGAAATTAGGTACGGGTAGAGATCAGAGGTTCTGGAGCAGAGAGAAGAAACTCGGATACTAAGGGACAAGAATCGAGGAAGAGGAAGTCCTATTGAAGCGAAGAGACGAGCTGGGAATGGCCAGATCTTGACAACGCCACTGATTTCTAGATTTTGTTCGTCACGATCTTAGAATAAACATTTATCTAGATACAATGTAAGCCGCAGCGCAGCGCGGCCGGGCACGCTAGTATCGTATAAAGATAGCGCTTCTTCAGCGATCAGTGGCTACTACGAAGCGAACTCACCGCCATGCTGAAACAAATGTCTCCCTGACCCGAGTGTTCCTCGAAATGTGTAAGCGAACGTAAGCCAACAGTCGCGCATGTGCCAGTCAATGCACGATAGTCTCGCAGATACGTTGAAATTGGAAGCCAAATGGAAACCGTATCCGAATGCCATGAGCTCGTCTTCGAATAAAACTTAGCCCAGCATGAACTCGGTGTGAGCACCGTGTTAAGTTTCCGAAAACAAAAATTCGGATTCCCAAATCACAGCTCAGCATTTTTCTCGATTCCGCCGCTTTCAATCAAATGGCCGGTTTCTTCAAGTTCAATCATGGTACGAGCTGACCGATCCGACTTGCTATCTTTTCATTTGACATTTCTTCTGTCTGCCCTCTCGGAGCACCACTCAGGCTTCTCTCATGCCCTACGAGCAGAATACCTATTATTGGAGGACTCGCCGAGGAATCGTCGGAAAGAAAGCGGAAACGCACGGAGTGGCGCGACCACGCAATCTATGTAGCTTCCCGCCGCGGCTCTAAGATCATGCGGCATCAGGTTCGAGCGTTTAATTGAATGTTTCTTTCAGTACTGCGTACCTCGATCCAATCCTATGAAAACGATCAATCCTATTGGGATTACCTGAGCGGGAGATCTCTCAATCAGCTCGCCATTTCCAGGGGACAATCTGTGATAGCCTCGTCCGGTGATGAATGGAACTAAATCGGTTCGAAGTTCTCTATCGTCAGTCGAGTCTGCGAATCGATCAATATCATTGAATGCCATCATCAATCATCAACTCAATACTAGGGTCCGGCCTCCTGCTTCTATGGCGGATTCAACGATCCTTTGAAGCTGATTATTATTATCCTCATCGCCACACAAAAGCATCTCTTCAGCAATCATCCAATCCATGAGAATCCCCCTAAACAAGCCTTCGAAAGAGCCAGACCCTACCATAGGCTCATGATGGAATAACTTCGAATCGCAGCACTCAGCTCGCGCAATCATACCTTGTATAATCACATTATTGTCGGCGGCTCTGGTGTCATTCAGGCTTAGGTTTGCCACTAAATGAAGGAAATTTCGGTTATGTAACCGTCGAGAGAAGCACACGGAGAGCATTGAATACGTTTGCATGAGAATAGCGATAAGAAACTCACATTCTTCTTTGATATTCATCAGAATGATCCGAGTCTCGTCAATGTGCCGAAGCGGCCTTGGATCATCGTCGCGCTCGATGAGATCTTCGACGTCGCTCGAAGCGCTCATACTTGCGATGTTCCACCCCGGGTCCAACTGGAAGAATCGATAGCATTATGAATGGGTATTTGCGTGTTGCCGAACTCGACCTCAGACCTCGACTCTCATAATCAGTCGTGATCGTTGACCACCCGACTGGAGTGAGGGACTTCGACTTCAACATGTCGAATTCGGTGGAGTTGCCTTCTCCGTGTCTTTTAGCGTATAGGGAGCCCCACATCCCGGGAATTCTCTGTTCTGCGTTAGAGACTCAACTTCGATCGTTCAGAATCTGCGGAATGATTGTACTTACGAAAATATGGCTCGGAACTATCTACCCGCTGTGGTTAACAACAGGTTCCGAAGTCACCGGCTTGAGCGTCTCCGAAGATGGAGGCAGTCCGAGATGGATCAGGCGAGTGGTGAGAGATGGCACTGAAAGGGTTCATGAGAGAGGATTCCAGCTGATCAGAGCGCTCAGGGATTCGGAGCGGTGTAGCCCCGCCCGAATCCCAGATGCCCGATTCCCAGATGCCCGATTCCCAGATGCCCTCTCCCGATTGCGACGCCTCCTGAGCCAAGAGATAGAGAAGCTTCTATGTCTGAGGTCTGCCATCTTATTCAGCCCCGAAAGGAGAACGCGGATTCGCTGCTACCACAATCGGGCAAGCTCGGTATTCTATTTTTTTCCCAATGAAAAATCAACGGCTCAATCTCGATCCGTCGATTCCAAAGAGCCCCACACCCACTCTTTGGGCGGAATCTCGGAGAAACTCCATTGACTTCACTGGATGTTCGTCTCTGTCATCTCTCGGACTAATTCACTGAGGTATCACGGAATTATACATTACCAGCCGAGAGGGCGCTTCGCGCCCTCACGGCTGATCGCATGCCGACTGCGATGCTTTTGAAACTTGTGCTGTTCACATGGAGCTCACCAATGTCGGGAGTCAATTCAGTTCAGTAGCGCTTCATTTAAAAAGGTTAAGTCAGATTCGTAGTGGGTAATCGCGATATTAAATCAATTGAAGACCCTGGACAGTGTCGAGTCGGAGTTGATGTTGATTTTGCCTGATGAAGTTCAAGCGATTCATCTCAATCTTCAACCAACTATCGACTATGAACTGCTGCAAGAGTTTTCCAGCATAGTGCAACGGATTGAATTGGCGGTCCCGAGTGGAGAGAACGAATGAGTAATACTGTTTTTGGGTAACTCGGGCTCTTCTCGGCGACGCGTACTCTGTGCGTTCCATTTCTGGATGCCAACCGTGTCCGCCGGAGGGGAAGAGCAACGTATATGTAAGCGGATCGCACAGCTTATCAAGCTGGCTGATGAATTTAAGGTTACCGGTTTGCTCATGAATTACCAAAAAACGGTCTCCCAGAATCGATTCCTCATCCCCAACGTAAACAATGGCAACTTCATTGGCGGTCGCGAAATTATAGCGACGATGATCGTCAGCGTTGTTCTGCTCAAACACCATCCGCACCGGCCTAGAGGTTCGACCCTGTTCTTGAGCGTTCCGCGATTCTTCATCGGCGACCTGAGCCATGAGTCGGAACGCTCGTACGTATGGGTTGGAGTCGTTTAACATATTATGGAGAGTTCTGAAAGTACTCTCAACGACGCGGTTGGCATCGCGTCCGCACAGTTCTTGAGCCGCCTCGTTCGTGTCCATAATTAAGACCTGAGCGCATTGAGGAGGATCGCCGTCTCGTGGTTGCAGACCTCCGATAGTATGATATACCTGGCCATGCACCCGAAAGCAATAAGGGCCGAATCCTTGCGGGGTCACTATGTCTGCGGTCATAGAAGCCATAGGTAGAGCATTATTATAATTTCTGATGAATTTTCGGAAGCTTTTCGAATCATCATCCTGGTTCAAATACAGAGAACGCAATGTCTCGGGGAAGGGTTCGAACAGCGGGAGTTCAACCGTATTCTTCGCGCAGCACATCATGTATTGCGTCCGTCCAGGAGTTGCTTTCTCGTCTCTGAAGTGCGCAGCTCCGCATCCGCTGCAAGAGTCATCCATGTTTCCTAGATGATGAGCGCTCGAGGGACGCCTCTGATAATCGCGAGCTATGCCTACTGAAGTACGGAGATTGTGACCGGGCTGTAAAGCCCGGACCCCACTGCGATACGCTGCGTGTTTGGCACTCCTCAAGTCAAGTTCTGACTGCGTCATGTTGGAACGCGTTGCGGATTGTCGCGTAGCATCTCGATCGCGTGAGTCTTCTATCTGTGGTAGAGACTCCTGCGATCGGAGTCTACGGTGTCGCGCGGAATCAGCGGCACGCACGTTTTCCGCTCGAACTTGACAACGATCAGCCCGGAGTCGCCGTTGTTGGACCAAATTCAATGCCCGCGAGTGGGCGACTTCTGCCTGTGTTCGATTAGCCCGCTGCCGACGCATCCGGTCCGCCGCTTGTTCACGTCGAGAACGCTGACCTCGTCGGGAACGCCGGCATGAATTAATGAAAAATGATAGAATACGACGAATAAGAATAAACGAAAACGACAGATATAGGGAAAATTCACGAATTCGTGCATGCAGAAGTCAGGGAGCCGTCTTCGTGATTAGATAAGCCTGGGGAGCCCGGCCTACGGCCGGAAACTCGTCGGGGACGTTCAGTCCGTCGCGGACGTCTGAGCTTTGGCATGAACGAATCCGGAAACTCTCTAACACTCCTGAACACTCCCGAACAGCGTAAAGAGAATCCCGCCTTGAGGCTCGAGTGCGGCGGTTCTCCGCCATCTTGAATGACGTCATGTGACAGCCACAACGCATACGGAGGAAAAACTTGAAGTTTTGTGCGTTTTTCCGAGGAACGGCCCGCAGGAATGGTGGGAAATTCACATGGGCAACGGACGAAGGGGTTCCGTACCGATTGCGCGCATAATCAGACGGGAATCATGGCGCGAAGCAGTAGATAAGGTGCGAACTGACAGACAGGCAGACATTGCGCTTTTATTATAGGGGGGGATAGGGGGGGATCCCAACCGCTTCCGGACTCTGGATGGGATCAGTCTCATTGATGAGCGCGGCGGTAGAAAGCACCATCGAGATCGAAGAGACTCAATTCGATATTCCCTATTCAGTGGTGAACCACCAATGGAGATAGTACTTTGACGAGGAAGCTAAACGAAGTTCGATAGGAGAGCTCTGGAGGCAAAGTCGAGCGCATAGAAGGCTCAGAAGGCTTCGGAAGCGCGAGGGGGCCAAACCCAAGCATTTAGGAGTCGGGCATCTGGGAATCGGGCACCTGGGAGTCGGGCATCTGGGAGTCGGGCATCTGGGATTCCGGCATCTGATACCTAACCGGACTCACACGACTCCACCGTGTCCTGGATCCTCGACCCTCGTCCCTCGTCGTGTCAAAGGGAACTCTGAACTCATTCACCATGTAGCTAGTAGACTAATTCTCTCCTCTGACTAATTCTCGTAGCCCCAACCTCATAGATGAAATGCCGTGACGGATGTTTTTTTTGGAAATTAAAGAGAATTGGATGAGCTTTCCAATCAAGACGTCCCTTTCGACATTTGAAAACGTTTCGAGGGACTTACAGCCGTCTCAATATCGCTTATTTTCGAAATTTTCAATCTCAGTTCAAAACCCTCATAAGTCGGGACGAGGGTATCGCATCGGCTCGGTGGGGTCGGCGTCTTGTAGCGCGGGAAATAAGCTGTCGATTCGTCTATTTAATTTGAAGAATCCGTTCACGTGGAGCATAGAAAAAATTCGTCTGCTATGTGGAAGTAACGGTCGAAATAAAAGAGCCACCCACCCTAATAGAGCTGGAGGGCGAAAATTCGTCTCTCTGATTCTTGCATCGGGGAGCTCGTAGTCCGTACAGCGGAATCGCTCTTTTATTTTCCGAAATCGGACCGGTTTTCGAGGAGTCACGCGAGGATCAAAAAGACGACCTTTCGCGCCTACCCTTCCGGCTGAATTAGAGGCGCAAATGAACGCTTCCTCATCAATGAATTATTGGCCTTCATGAGGTGCTGGCAGCAGATGGTCGCAAGATATTATGGAACGGTATCCAAAGTTCTTGCGAGGAGGAGGCTCCTCTCGGGACTGATCATATGCTTCGATAATATTATCACGGTGGCTCAGAACGAGAAATATGACGCCGCGATTAGGGTAAGACGAATTCGCTGATTATCGTTGTCGAGCTTTCGTAGCGCAAGTGTTTCAGTCGACGTTTCCGGAGTCGAATATTCTCCGGCCGAAAACCTCAAATTTTATAGAACTCTTCTGCGAGAGATAAAACTCCTAGGCTCTTACACTCTCTATCGGAAGGTCGGCGTCGGTATTCCGAAAGCAATCAGACTGCAGGCGAAGCCCGGGAGCAGATCCCGATTTATCAGGCCACCACTCCTCTTCGGGAAGTCCGAGAGAGTGAATCCTAGGATGTCTCGTCTCATTGAATTAATTGACGTCATGCAACCGAGTATGGAAAAACTCGGACGCCAAGCCGCACGGAGCGAACAAGATAGAGTGGCCCAGCTTGGTTTTCCAAGTTTGGATCTATTCGACTGTGATAAAGCTGTCGAATATCCGGAATCAGTTCCTGGAATATTACCCTCAATTGTATAAAGCAGGTGCATGAGAATATCAATCAGAAAATTGGCCCTATCACCAGAACCTTCTCGATCGCGGCGACATTTTATCTGATCCAATCATCTACGGACTCCGTCAGGCATATTGGATGCTCCCAGCCTTCCCGGAAGGTCGACGGGCCGCGAACAGAGATTTAGTATTTTCCACGCGTGCGCGCCCCTCATTCCTGAGTGCCGCGAGCTGCGAGGCCGTGAATCATAGGAGACAACGTCATGTGTTCAATGGACGTGAGAACGTCGTACCCAGTATCATGGGCTCCGCCATTCCAGCGACAAGTGGGCGAAGCGAATGGAGTCAGCAAACGTGCTCGAAACCACCAATAGCACGTCACGGGTAAGCAAACGGGCAGAACAGGTTCCTGGCGGACCACGGCTCGTGAAGTGGTGATGTCGAGCACCCCCCTGAGATCGACTTAAATCTCGTCTCGTGCTAATCATAGAACAACGCTAAATGATGCCGCACCGCTCGCGAGCGCGCAGCATATTTACAATCGAGGAAAACCTGCCAGGAAGTTCATGCCACCGATACACATGTACATATGAGGGTCAGGCCGCGGATGATGTCAACGCCCATTGGATCGCTCCGGGGAGAACTCACATTTTGATTTTATGGTTGACAAGGGCGGAACCGGTCCATCGAGCAATAAAATTCTCCGTCTAAAACAGGAGAGGTTTCACTGCCAATACGGCAGCGAAGGTTCGAATTTCCCGATAACGAATCCACGTTTCTCCATTCTCGTATCCCCCATGAGTTTCCGTTGTACACGGTGCTCTGTTGGGTTATCGCGGGGAGAACGAAAGAGCAATTCAAACTTTCATGTTTGAGAACATGCTCGAGTGCTCCTCAGGTAGCTTGGAGTCTGACGCGCGTCTCCGCAACTCGAGTCGAAAAGGAAGTCGAAAAGGATAAGCTGAAAGCGAGCTATCTGAAAGTCGCCCTTGGAGTTCATCGCTCATCCAGAAACCGGCTTGTTTACCTGCTCACGGAGACACCGCTGTTCTCGGAGACCCTACAGAAACAGTACCGTCTGCCAATGACGGCCGCCTACCAAACGCACCTCAATACCTGGCAGGAGAAGATGTCGGACATCAACGCAGATTTCCTGAACTGCCCCGCCATGACAAAAGACACGTGGAAGCAGCCTGGATTCAAAAACCGCCACCGATGGACCCGAGGAGCAGTACATGGCTTTCACTACCAGATCTGCCATAGACCCAACGCTCACACGCCTGACGAAAACTGCCGCTGCAAGCTCTGTGGAGGGGAGTGCTCGGAATACCACTTCTACAGTTGCGAACGTCAGAGAGATCTCAAATTAATGGAATGACGAGTGATGAAATATGTACATATACTAAATCCTATACACCATTTAAATGGTAAATAAAAGCTTTATTTGGAAAAGGAATTTTGAATCTCCAAGTCTCCACTGACAGTCTTCCTATAGGCGGGTTGCCTAACCATTCGTTCCCTGGTGTCGGAAGATTGGTCCGTCTGGCTGACAAGGAATGTGTCAGAAGTGTCCCATCGCTTTTCGATCCAGACCATGCTCATCGTGTTAGTCTCGGTGCGGAATGAAAACGTATGGCGCCTTTTAGCTGCTTAGGCCCTAGTTCCATTTTTACAGAAAATCCAATATTACGTTTTCCGCCATTCGAAAACTAGCCTTTCCTCATTCCCCAAGCGAACTTCGGGAATGCATGTGTCGGAATCGTGCCACACTATCACTGAAACATAATCCTCTCATTGACAACTCTCCATATCGATTCTCCTGTCAATTCCATCGATTTCGTTTAATCTCATCAAATTTTGTACCGACAAAAATTTCGTCCACATAGTCACTCGTCAACACCCGAATGGTAGTGAAACAGGCAGTAGAAGCATTGGGCGCACAGAATTTTCTCGCAATAGACACACCGAATGAATGGCATGAAGCGGCAGTTTTCGACGTGACACGGGCCTTGAACTTGGAACAAAATCTCCGCCAGGCTCGGGAAAGGTATGTCGGGAACTTCGAATCCACCGAGCCTCCACCCACATAACCACAACGGACGAAACGTCGTGTGTTGACACTGATTGTATATCAGAGACTGCATCTGTAGGACGCTCTTGCGGTCGTCGAGGCGGATGTTCAAGAGCATGGCATGCTCTGTCAGACGTTTCGCGAAGTCCTTCCATTGTCTGAAGCAATACAAGTCCAGAGGCTGGATGATGCTCGTTGAGCCCTTGGGGAAGATCTTGACGTTCACTTCTGTCACTGGTAGCTCGTAAAGCTCCTGATCCCGATGACCACCCCATGAATCTACGTATAGAATGCACTTTTTGATTCCGGAGTCCGAAAGCATCTGCCGAAACACTGAGCTGGCCCAGCCCCGTACCAAATTCTTGGTCAATTTACCCGACTTTGAACAAGTCACGTAGAGATTCGGAAAGTTTGGCAGATCCTGGGAAACTCTCGGACCAAATCCATCAGTGCGCTCTTGCAAGTTCACGTACAGTCGTCCAACGAGCTCGCCATTCATATTCACCACGGGTTGGATCGTGTAACTGTGTGTAAGGCTGTTCAGGCTTTTAACGACGCCTACGGTTGTTTGCTCATTCCGGTGTGACAGCGTTCGATTCGTATGCACTAGATAACTGAATCCAGACTGGTCGGTGTTCAGAACTTCACGCGGATCATAGCGATCTCTAACGTTGCGAACAAAATCGAGCAGAACCTGCTTCGCTTCGGTTTCGATCTCTTCACGGTTCCGTTGTTGACGGAAGCTCACGAATTTGACGATTCTTCTGGAAGATATCCGGTGGGCATTCTTGAACCTCGCGATCCACGAGTGACTGGCTTTGAACAACGGCAGACTGACCTCTCTCGCTTTCGCGAGGGCCCACATGCGGATGGTACGATCGTGGACTATGATACCGTGAGCCCGTGCAGCGTCGAACTGTTCCTTACAAAATTGCGCCACCTGAATGTACTTCTCAAGATGCGTCCCACAGTTTCTTCGATACTCCCTGAACCGTGAGAGGTAGCGCCGATGCCGAACCTGAGGGAATCGTTTAAGAATCGTTTCCTTCTTGTATCCAGGATGACTGTCCATGAAGTCGAGCACTTTACACACGTATTCGTACGGGAAATGGGGCCTCGCGCTCGTTTCTTCGTCGGTGAAATCCTCGAAAACGGCATCGAATTCCTCTCTTTCGAAATGCGTCTCGTACAGCTCTTCTTCCGTTTCGAGGAAGCAAGCGTCCTGATCGTCGAGGGCCAGAATCGAGTCGAGTATTCTTTCGGCGAGATGAAGTTCCTGGGCCGACGCCCGCGTCAGGGGAGCAGAAGTCAGATCGATGGCATTCAATTTTGATAGAAGAGAAGACAAGATGAATGATGCTCGTATCGGCATAATTTCTTTTGGTATCCGAATCGACTTCGTTTTCCAACAAAATTGAACTTCCAGATTCGAAGCATCTTATATAGCACTTCGGAAAACTTCCCCATGGTACGAGATGTGAACGGAGCTCCGTTTGGCTCCACCGAATTCACCTAGCCAGGAGCGAGAATCTGGGATATTTTCGGGAAGTGGTCAGTCCTCCAAATCGGAACAGAGTTCCTCATCGGCTCCTGCTGTGGGACTTGTAACTTGACTGGCGTTTACGGTCGGGCTCCACACCTCCACAGTGGGGATCTTGCTCTCGGGAGTTCAGGGTTTGGAGAATCTCTCACACATTGTCCTCGACATCCCTAAATCGCTCCAACTCCTCTCTCATCGAGCTCCGTTCTCGTCATCTTGAACGCAACAGCTCGAACTGCGTGTTCTGTCAAGTAATTCGGCCACAACGATGGCTCCTTCGTCTGACGGTCGTGCATGGTTCCCTTGCTACCATGGTCCCAGTTTCTGGATCCATTCCGGACATCTCCAATGCACCGAGCACTGGCTTTTCAACGTGGATCACATTTGATACCACCCCGCAGTCGATCGATATCCCATCGTCAATCCTCACGGTAACTGGAATTTTGCCTCGTGGTGAACGGTACCGAAAGCCGTTAGATAGAGCTCGCGATTTCTCGAATTCTCGTGTTTTCCGAGGGGCGGATGAACGCATTTCAAGATTCGCGGCTGGAATAATTCAGAGGCGCGCATTTCGAACAACGCAGGCATGGCTCTCGGATGAAAATTCATCGACAGGAGCGGGAAATGTCCATATTCCAGGCCAGAAAACGTGATTTTGGATTTTCTGTAAAAATGGAACCAGGGCCTAAGCAGCTAAAAGGCGCTATACGTTTTCATTCCGCACCGAGACTAACACGATGAGCATGGTCTGGATCGAAAAGCGATGGGACACTTCTGACACATTCCTTGTGAGTGAGAGGGGGTCCTCCACTCGTTGTAGCAGCGAGCCGGGAAATGGAGGAAAGTTTTTACAATAAGTCACTCGATCTCAAGACTGTCCACCTACGGGGTAAATTCCGATAACCCGGGGAGAAAATCTCCAGTAGACTATCTAGATTCGTCTTTCCTCATCTGATGAAGGCCTTGCAGAATTGCGGATTTTCCTCTGGGAGAAGTCCGATGTCTCGACTCCGTCCTTAGGTCGGCAGTCGGGAATACCAAGGCACCGTTCTCCTCCTTCGACATCGTCTCTGTTGAATGAGAGGATTCGTTGTTCGAACAGCTCGTCTCTCCCTCTTCCAGCTCCGTGATTCCCACAGTGAGAATTTTGACAATCGGAAATCGCTGCGACGCGCTCGGAAGCAAATGGTCCTGCTCATTCCCCATCATTACCTACCCCATCCCTGCCAAGAGGGATGACATGCCGGATGGCGCGGCGGTGTTGCGTACAGCGGTCATGGATCATTATTCATCTTGAGTTCGAGAGCCTAATGAAGGAATATTTCATTGTACCCAAAACTTTCTCCTTGTCCTTATCGCGTTCGAATCTTCCTTTTCAGAAGCGTCCCATGCGAAGGACTCGGGGATATTCCCGAAACGATTTCCCCAAGGAACTGTTCTTTTGCATATAGGAATACATGTATATGGATAGGGACGGAATATCTGCGGCAAGAATCGTGCTTGTAGTAAAAACAAGGTCCGTGTAACAATCACACGGAAAAAACGTTCCCGAACGGAGACTGCTCGCCTCACCGAGCGTCAGGCTCCCCACAGTGCGCCGACTGAGCGCTATGTCGGAAAAGCGCCGCATCTTTCCGGTAGAGAACGAAAGAATCTTCGAACATGCGCCCGCAGTCAGAGCATAGAACTGTTTCTCAGCGAGGTGCAATGCGAGGTGACTGAATCATGCATTCCACGGCAACAACCTATCTCATGGCCGTTTCGAAGCAGGGAAGCTCTCCGCTTCCTCTGTGAGAAAGGGAAAACTTATCTGTTGCTGTTAGAGACTTCCGGACTTACGGGGTTGTGGCATTGCGTCGTCGCCGTCATCGTTAGACGTCGCTGTCGAACCCTAAGCTGTAACAGCAGATTGGAGCACGTCGAGGGGAAGGACTCATTCAATTATTTACACTAACATTGAACAGCGTGCTCCGGTGTATGGGAAAAATGTACGGACGGAAGAGGAAAAAGTTGGAGTCCCAATCCGTGTGCTGCCGGCCGTGCGCTGAATTTCAACACGTCGTCCTGTCTCCTTCTGACTCGTGGAAAAAAAGAGTTCCAGATGCTTCCGACGGGAGCCCCGGTCGCTCCCGGTGCCGAGGCTCTTCCTGAAAGCGATGAGAGCTGTCTGTCAGTCACAGAGTTGGAAGCCCAATAGGCGCACTACAACATCAACAACAACACTGCCCCTACCACTTCCACCGCTTGGAGCGTATTTCGATAAGCTCTGAAAAGGCATTTACCACTCTCCTGCCGCCCCCGGGCTTTCAATATCTCGAACACCTTCTCGATACAGACCCTCGGACCGACCCTCCCACCGGACTCTTCGATATGCGTACTTCCAATCGTCTCCTCGCTCCGACGCTAAAATCATAGTCCACGAGAGGTGCCCGGCTTCCAAACCGACAAAGAAATTCATAAAAACATTTTGGACCGCCGGAGATGAGAATTTCGGAGTGAAAAACTGATCGACGCAGCTTCATGAGTCTCCCGGGTAGATCGACCCGCAGCAATGTTCCACTAGGAACGACCCCTTGATCTGTCGGAGTGAGAGTACAACACCCCCACGTCAGAACCTGTTTAGAGACGCGGAAAAGCTCTCTCAGAGAGCGGAAGATCTGTCCTCTCTCTGATGTAGCTGTTCCTCGCGGAGCTTATCCGTTGATAATTGCCAAGGAATTAGGGTCCTCGGCATCGGATCGTCTTTGTTTGCGTTCAAATCCAATCCTCCTATTAGGTCGCCGCCTCGGGTCTTTCGACCGCTCTCGCGAGCACGTCATCGTCGACCTTGCCTCCCTGGCAGATAGAGGAGACAACTTGAACGAGACCGTCTCGAACAATCAGACCGGTGGGCACCGGATGGGAAAGGCTGAGAGGCCGATCCTTGAAAGGTCGATCCTCATCATTCACGGTCGAAACTCTCGCGATTGAACTCTCTCCCGACTCGGAGTCGGACGATATATTCATGGCATTTTCGAGGAGTGGTTTCCGTCGTCGCTGGATCCGCTCGTTTCGATTGCTCCGAGAAGAGCGAAAGAGGTGAAGAGTCTCCGGATGGCTCTGATGTCGACAAGCTCTGCCACTGTGAACTTTCGCCGTTTAGTTTCTCGGTCGGGCATGTTTCGAATTTTGATTGCGACAAACTTTGAACTCGGCTCTCAGTTGGGCACCAGAGTGAGGAGAACTCGCCTAGTCAGGACTAAGAGGAGCCAGTTGCAAATTTTCGAAAAGCATCACTATCCTAGGAAGATCTCCTGGATTATTCGACCTTTCGGCCGAGGTCGGAAGCGGAGCGACGCCGTCAGGTGGGCGAGTGGTCCGAGCACCTCTCACGCAGATTTGCATTGTGCATATCGAAGCTGTCTCGCGCGGATGGTTGCCGCTACGAATCCGGAAAGCTTTCGGTGCGGGAGCTCTACTTTCCGTGGCAGCCATCCGCGTGAATCTGGATGCGCGAAGGCGGGAAGAGGAATTAGACACCAGGAGGGCTCACCAAGGTCGTCGTCAGATTGCCGATTCCGTGACAACCCCCAAAGAAAGATTTCCGTCTTTTGTTCTCGAATTCCTCACCTCTTGTTCCCTAGATGACGATTTGCGATACAGTCATTGGTTTCAGAAAGAATGCGTTTCCGGTACAAGAACGGCCTCCGAATATCGCACGCGTAATAATTCACCTACGACCCGAGATCGCGATTTCTCTCCACGGTACGGCGATCGGAATTCCCGTGACAGGACGTCTGCTCGGCCAGATCAGGGCTGACCGATTTCGGTGCTTCCAAGTCTGAAGATGACTGATCGACACTTGGCGGCTGCCAGCAGAGCGTATAACTTAACACGCTGCGCTAGCTGGCCGCGGTTCGGAGGCTGCTCAGAGCTAGGAATCGCACGTCCGTACTCCTTCGGCGGACCAATCGTAGTGGATTGCCGCCTCATTAAAAATCGTCTCGTCGCCGCCGAAAGTGATAAAGTGCATACGCCTACGGCTTCTATTTCGGCAGAGCTCCGCATGAAACAAGCCGGCACTGCAAATGGTCCGTGAAGATTTGCTTCACACGAGCAGACGGCTCACCCGGTGCTGTCCCGAACGAGCTCGGCTCGTTACCGTCCTTAGCGACAATCACGTTGTCCAACGGATCATCAGCGTATTATTGTCCGCAACGATCTGTCTCCTGCTGCGTCCTTGTTCCTCCTCCAACGCTTCATGATTCGGCGACGCCGCGGCGGCACGAAGGTGCCTCTCTCTGCCCATTGGAGCGGTGTACAGAGGAATCAGGCCATGAGCAACAGGGAACCTCGAGACAAGGATGCAGCCCGACCCTGAGCAGTCTGTTGTTCTCTCGTTCCCCTTGATGTTGTTCTTAGCCTTGTTGTTAAGTCTTTGTTCTACAGACACGAGGACTTGTTCCTGATCGTTGCACGGAGCGGAACAGGATAGCGCTCAGGACTCTGCTGATGTGCGCATGACCCTTTCAATAGCCCCCTGCAAAGCTATG